TAACATAATTGAGGCATAAGATAATAATCTGTTGTAGGTGACATAGTTTGTAAGTGGCAAAAATGAATGAATATTCCTTTTCCCTTTTTCTTAATAACATTATTGATTTATGATTTACAACATTTGATACCTACAAATTAAAGGACAGGTTTTTTTTTTTTGCTCTGCAGTTAAGTGGTTAAATGGCTCCAAGGGAGGGTGGCACGGCAGAAAAGAGCTCATGGCATGGCACACAGGAAGCAGATAGAGATCCGGGGAGTACGGAAAGTGACACTTCCAGTGACTCACCCTCTGCAACCATGCTCCCAACATCGTGTTTAACTCTGTTCTCATCAGTGGATCATGTTCCTGTGATCCAACACCTTCCTCAGAGTACCACCTGGAAGTGCAGGAGGCCCTGGGGGGACATCCAAATATAAACTGTAACAGTCAATGTTCAATTCAGTGATTTTTAAAGTAAATTTATAGAATTGGGCAACTGTTTTCACAGTCTTAGTTTTACGTTTTTGTTACCTAAAAATAAAATTTGTGTCTATTTAATATTAATCTCTTTTCCCCCACTCAACTTCAGGTTAAGGTATGCTCTGTTTTCTGACATTATCTGTCTGTCTGTCTGTCTGTCTGTCTGTCTGTCTGTCTCTATCTATCTATCTATCTATCTATCTATCTATCTATCTATCTATTGCTTAGCAATTAGGCACTGTGCTGCTCAGCTATATTCCCCAGCCCTTGTTTTCTGTCTTTAGACTTGCATTTTCTGGTAGTTTGATACAAATTGAATCATATAATTTGTAATTCTTCTGTATGTTCTTCCTTTTCATGCTTTTAGAGGCTCACCCCATGTTTCTTCAAGTGTATGACCTAATTAAAGATCAAAATGCCAGTTCCAGTGAGCCTCTCCTTGCTGTACCCCCATTACAGAGTAGCCCTTGGGCAGGAGCATGTGATCTGCATGACACTGGTTGTCACCGCAGTCATGACTAGCCATGAAGTACAGTTTAAGTTCATTTTCCTGTAAGGTCTTTTTAGGAACTATAGGTATGTTGTAGCATGTATCAGTTCATCTCTTTTGATTGTCAAATAATTTTCCATTATACGATTATACCACATTTTATTTAGTCCTTTACCAGTTGGTGAATAATTGGGTTATTGCCAGTTTTAGGCCATTAGGAATAGTGTTATAAGTATTCTTGTACAAGTCTTTATGTCACTATGTATTTTTATTTCTTGTGAAAAGGCAGGGATGGAATCACTGGTATATACCTTCATATTAACTCTTTCTCTAACAGTTTCACAAAATGACTGCATCATTTTGTATTCTAGGAACACTGCATGATGGTTTGGTTTTGTATGCCTCCCAGCAGATAGCTGTTTCTGTATTCTCATAGCTGTGTAGTGTAGTTTTTTCCTTTTGTATGATACATCTTTTATTTTTTTACTGAAGAGCAAAATTTTAATTTGTATGACTTTAGTTATTTTTTAATAGGTGAGTTCTACTTTTAGTTTCATACTTAGAAATTTTACTTTTCCACTTCTAAATTTTCCACTTCGAAGTTTGCAATTTTTTAATTAATAGTCCCTATTTGTGTTATGTTATATATTTACTTCTTGAGATATTTTTTGGTATCAAAAATCAAACTCTCAACCTTGTACTTGCCAAGGAGGCACTATGCTGCTGAGCTATATCCCCAGCACATTATATTTACTTTTTTATGAATAGGGTAAGTTCATATCTATCTCTATCTCTATCTCTATCTCTGTCTCTGTCTCTGTCTCTGTCTCTGTCTCTGTCTCTGTCTGTCTCTCTGTCTGTCTATCTATCTATCTATCTATCTATCTATCTATCTATCTATCTATCTGAAAATTTTTCCACTAAATCCAAGATCCAGTTTTAGTCAGGTACAGCTTGTGGTAGCTCCTGTTTTTCCCTCTTAGTATTGGTTACAGTTTGTTCGGCTTGTAAATTTTCGTTGTTGTTGAACCGCACATTTTACATACTATACTGTGTATTGTAATATCTCTGCATCCTGAATTTATTCATTTTTCCCCTGCAGAGCCTTATTCTGTATCCCAGGCTGGGACAGGATCTTTCTTGCCTCAGTTGCTTCAGTATTGGATTGGGATTTTGGTCACGTGCTACACACCAACTTCCTCTTCAGCTTCCTAGAAATTTTTTATTTTGCCTGTTTGTGTTTATACTGAGATTACAGAGACTTTACATCTTCTGCCGTGGATTTTATGTGCTTTGGGAGTCACATTCAAAGTGCTATACATTTTTATGTTTGCCTCTTTCCTTCTCTGTTGAGCTGTGTCATATCTCTCTGTGTGTGCCTGTAGGTGGAATTTTACTTTTGTTTTTGTTTTGTGGTGCTGGTGAATTTTGGGCTGGTGCTCTACCATTGATCAACACCCCTGTGCCTGGAGGCAGATTTTCTGTCAGCCCCAGGTTTATGTGGCAAGCTTGTTCTCGCTCAGATTTCCCTCTCAATACTCTCAGCTTCCCAGTTAGCTGGCATTTTGTAATGAGCTTGGGGCATTTCGGGTCTCACCTATACATATGTGCAGTCTTCTTGTAGCCAGAGTTGTGTGAATGGCTAGGCACTTTTTCAGGATTTGTAGAGAAATTATCAAGTCCTTTCATAGCTGTCCTGTTTTTAGGATCTCCCTGTTTAATTTCTACCTATTCAGATTTATGTCTTGCTCCAATGGCTGCAGGCTTAATGAGCTGCGTATTTTCCTATTTTCTGTTTGCTATGAGTGTCCTTTCCTGTATTCCACATTAAAGCCTTCCCCTTTTGGCAGTGAATCTGTTGGTTTTTAATCACTTTGATGGAACTTCTGTATTTGGGGAGCTGGAGTAGTTGATGAAGCTGTTCCCTGGTAAGATGCTGCATTTGTACCATTCTTATCAAGAAATTGCGTTGTTTGACATACTAAAGTCTTGTTTCTTTCCTTTGATTGCATTAAGAGCACAAAAATAGTTTTTAATGGTTTTATGCAGCTTTATATTTGTTTTCTGAGGGCAGATTTTGTATTTCCCTGGGAACAGAATTTCCCTAGGAGTATGGGATTTCGGTTCCAAATGTTTTTTTCTCCAATTCATGCTTTGTGAGGATAGAGAATGAGTAAGTTTTTTTTTTTTTAAAATAAGATGACAAAAGGTGTTGATTTAAGACTTTTATCGCTGTGTATAGACAGATGTGCAAGTGCATACTGAGGTTAATTAAAGGCTTTGGTGGCTCTTGTGGAGAGTGGATTTTTTGTGTGTCTTTAGAGTAAGTTGCTGTTGTTGATGTTTTTGATGACTTAAGTCAGCGTAAGTATAGTGTTCTTCACTTACAGCAATTTCCTAAAACAGATGTTTTAAGTGTGATTACTGTACAGCTAAAAAAATACTTTCTCAGTTTAGCCCTGAGAAGCTTGTGTCTGGTAGGGATGATACTTGAGCCCATTCCTTCTGGCTTCCTTTTGTTCTTTACGCTCTATATAACTGTTTCCCTACCATATCATAATTAGTAGCAGATTCTTTGATGATCTTAGTATATTTTTTTAGGTGATTCTTGAGGTTAGACTAATTTCATGACAGTCTTCCCGAATTTTTTTTTACTTCTTTTAATGGGTAATAACCCTTAAGTAAATGAGAAGTTCTGTTTGTTAAAGGCAGTTATTTAGCAAACTAGCAAGAGTCAGAGAGTGATATATCCCATGGCAGCTTCCTCTGCCAGCTAGCTTTTTTTTTTTTTTTTTTTTTTTTACTTCATAGATGCAGATTCTGCCCAAGAAGCCCCTGCATTGTAGAGGGACTGGAGATCTCTATGTTGTTTATTTCCCAGTTGACAAGGGTAAGGGTTTTTTTTTTTTAAATGGGGGAGGTGTTTGGGTGCCCTCAATTTAGCTTTATGTAGTGTAGCCAAACTTATTTTGGGACTACTTAAATTTAGTAAGAAAAATTTCTTTGATGAATTCTATTTGTCTGATATCAGTTGTCAGATTATCATATTAAAAAGCATTTTTTATAATTTTTTAAAAGCCCTATTGTGAACAAATCAGACAAAGATTCATTCTTCTAAAATTCTAAATCTAGGATTGTTCAAGATATTAATAATATAGAATTTATGTAAGTAAACCTTTGTAATAAATTTTAAAATTTTAGTTAAGCAAAGCATATCATATTCTTTATTAATTACTTTTCCTTTTCCATAAATCTACCAATGTATAGGGTAAAAAGGGACTTGTGGCTATATCACAGATATTGTGGAGGGCATGGTTTCTTACAGCTAGAAATCAGTACTTTTTTAATTCTTTGTTTACTCTGGATATCAGTGAAATTTGAGTTGTAACTTCAGCATAGCTTGCTTGCTTGCTTCCTTCTTTCCTTCCTTCCTTCCTTCCTTCCTTCCTTCCTTCCTTCCTTCCTTCCTTCCTTCTAGCTTATTTCTGATCAGTAGATAAATATGAAAGTGCAGGTGATGAATCTTATGGGAGCTAAGATTAAGTTTTGTAGGTTTTACTTGGTAGGTTATAGAACAAGTACGAGGAATGGCAACATTTATAATAAGATATGATTAAAACAGGTGAGGAAGAGTTTAGTACTTTTTAAAAATCAGAGCAACATTAGGCTGGTAATTGTAACCTGGTGGGTTTGGAGAAGAACTCAGTTCATGATAGATTTAGGGAGGAGTTTATTTTTGAGGATGTTATACGTGTAAATAACTTTGTTTACCTGAAGTAATAATTTATATTCTGTAACTTGAATAGATACTTTCAGTATTCTGTCTTCATATCTTTAAATCATCTTCTTTCAACATTTAATTTCTAGACATAAAGAATTCAACAATAATATTTTGTATATTATCATTACCACCGTTAATAAATATTCCACTTTCCAGTGTCAATACATTTGGAAAACTATTTTTATTCTTAAACATCTTAAATGACCTTTTTTTTCTTTCTTTCTTTTTTTTTTTTTTTTGTTTTTTCTTTTTCCTGTTTTCTTTAAGCCATAAGGATGAGTTTACCATTATTCCTGTACTGGTTGGAGCTCTGAGTGAGTCAAAAGAACAGGAATTCGGAAAACTCTTCAGTAAATATCTAGCGGATCCTAGTAATCTCTTTGTGGTTTCTTCTGATTTCTGCCATTGGGGTAAGTTCTAGATTTTAACATATTGTGGTAGATATTATATCTGTGTGTCATTCGAAGCTCTAATTTTCAGTTCTGTATCACTCTCCTTGGAAAGTTTTACTTTTAGCTGCAGTGAATAAAAATTTTGGTCATAAACGGTCAGATTATAGCAGTAGATTATGGATGCATTTCCAAAGGCGACTGGTATAATTGGATTCACATTGTGAGGGCATCCTTGCTTTACTTACAATAGTGCAAGTTAAGACCTTTGAATCCCATTTCCACCTGTGTATGTATGGTAGATTCTCTGAAGTTTTAGAGGGTAAAACAAGTATTCTTCTTTAGAATGTAAAAGAGCTCTGTGCACTATGCTAGTTTTTTCCAGATTTCTTTTTTTGTAAGTAGTCTTTCTTTTGGTGCTTAGTTTTGGCTCACAGTTGTCCTCATCTTAAAGCTATCTGCATTAGCAATATGGTCTTTCTTGGAAATGCTTTATAATGGTAAAGACTATTAAGTGATTTTTATGATTATTGTGAATTATAAGAGTAAAGAACGAGGCTGTTTCACCATGAATAGACCATAAAGGAAGTGAGACATTGTGGATTCCTCATTTAGCAAACTTTATTTTCATGTTCTTTGGATGCTGTTTGCTCTCATTTATCCATTAACTGACCCAGAATAGATTTCTTTCCTCTTAGGACATCTCTTTGGCTCATTTATTTACAGGTTTAAGCACACCAATATCTATTCATTTATCAGCTGTTACTCTAATTATAAGAAAATATAAAGCATAACACTCTTACTTTTTAAGGTACAGTGCTAGAAGCCCAGAGAAACATACTTTGTAAGATATGGGAAACCCTGACTTTTCCATGTTTTAATCTTTGATTGCCAGAATTGATTCAGCATGTATCTGACTTGGTTAGGTCTTTTCTTGCACTCTTCTCTGAATAGTCTTCTTAAAAGTTCAGAACTATTTTTCATGATGGTACAGATTGTGTGTGTGTGTGTGTGTGTGTTTGTGTGCGTGTGTGTGTGACACTATTTCTTAGCAAGGGATAATTTTCTAATTAGAGGGTATTTGAAAATGACTGGAAACATTTTTCTCATCACAACTGGCATGAGGCTTAGGGGGTGGTGATGCTACTGGTATCAAATAAGTAGAGTCCAGCTGCTAAGTAAATGTAGTATAATGTACAGAAAAAAATCTACCTCCTACCTCCCAGTGAAAGAAATACCTAGCTCCAAATATCAATAGTGCTGACTTTGGGAGACCCAGATGTAGGGTTTGCAAGTAAGCTTCCTTGTGAAACTCCCATAGAAGTTGTCAGGATTTCTAACTGATTCTGTTGGCTAATTGGTAGTACTGCATTTGGCAGAAGGTGATTTTTTAAAAAAATAAATATAAATATATTACATCTGAGGGCCCAGGTAAAAAATTTCTTTCTTGGGAATTTAGAAATGTAGTAATAGTCTTGAAAACAAATTACCAAATACCATTACTTATACCACTTTTCTTAGGATTATAAGTTTGTGTTGGTAGCAAGGCATATTGATGTATTGGGCTTTGTTTTTGCTTATGATTTTTTTGAGACATGGTCTCACTATATAGTTCAGGCTGGCTTCAAACTCATGGTAATCCTTTTGCCTACCCTCTCAACACCCAAGTGATAGGATTATAGATGTGCACCACCACACCCAGCTGGAAATCAAAATTTTTGAAGCAAATGCCATATTGGTTTTCATTTTGAAGGCTTTTATGAATGACTGCATTTAAAAAATCAGTTCCCCTGATACAGTTTTTTAGAATCTGAGCTCTTTCGTTAGGTGGGCAATGTGTAAAAACTGCAACATAAAGCTATATTAAACATCAGGAAATATTTTAATACTATTTTATGTGGAAACACTCTTTTGTACCATATTAAAGAATTTTAAAACCCTAGTCCACTCTTCTATGTAACTACAATTATTGAGAGAGAGAATTAAAATTCTGTTACATTCTACATAGATTTTCAGAAATCCACTTAGGCTATTTTGTTTCCAGATTTCTTAAAAAATTTTGATATTTAAATTGCAAGATAAGGTTTCTAGGTGATAACTTTTTGATAAACAATAACTATGAAAATTGTCTAGAAATTAAAACATTTAAATTTGCATTGGTGGTTAAGTAACAGAGCTTTGCCAAGTGTTTAGTTTTCAGAAGCATTGTCCCTAACAGTACTCATTTATTGTTTTACTTTGTACATATGCAAAACACTGTGCTAATTTTTTCTCAGAATTTTTGACGTTGTGTGGGGGTTAGTGAGAGGTGTAACATGGATAATATTCCACAGTTGCTAGTGTCCTTGCTTCATTGCTACCATAGTAAATATTCTTGTACAGTAAGGTGCTTATTGAAGTTAATATGAATCCTTGGCTAGCTATGGGTCAAGCTGTCTTAGGAATTAAGTTTTATGTTTCACAAATGTATGCTATAATAGTATTTGTTATCCTAAATTAGTGTGCTATATTACTGCTTCAAAAATTTAGTTGCTTCTCTTGAAGAACATACTCAGTGATGTTGTTTTCTGTTTTTTAGTTACTGTACAAGTTGGTTTTTTAAATTATGTGAAAACCATAAACTAAATTCTAAAATATTTCACAGGAATGATTCATTTCCTCCAGTATAGAGATATTATAAGGCTCACTGAATTAGGCTTTTTTTTTGAGTTAGGCGTTTAACACATTGCAATTGCCAATAGCTGATTTTTGAAGAAAAAAACTAATTATTTGATGTTTTACTCTGACATATAGTGAGTTTGTTTTAATTTAGCAGCATTATATTAGACTAGTTTACAGTGACTGCAGTTTTCATTTCTAGTTATTCTCTTTATATAGTTAGTGCACCTTTGCAAAAATAGAGTGAAAACTTAGCAGTGGAGATCTAACATGTAAACTGAAAATACTTTCCCTTGTTGATCTTACTTGGTAGCCAGTATCCACTATAAAGATGACTTATATGTCTTTTTGTGTTTTTATATTGACTTTTATATATATATATTTTACTTTATAGTTATTTGCTTTTCAGACCTCATTTAGATTTTATTTAGATTTAAAAAGAGATATTGTAAGATAAAAGGATTAAGTATAACACTAAAATACTGTTTACTTTTTGAGTTAGACCAAGGCAAAGTAGACAAGAAACCTGGATTGTCTTATTCCTTCTTTTTTTTTAAATCCTATCATTTAAGCTCCCCTGAGTGAAATCATACATTTCCTGCCTTTTATCTCATGATCAGTCTTTATGTATTTTAGGGAAGGGTCTATAGGGTGTTCAGGGTCTCACTGCTAGATGGACTCGTAGTGATCCATCTGCTTACAGCCTTGCAAGAGCTGGGATTACAGGCGTGCACTACGCCCAGGCTCAGTGCGCCCTGGGGGCCGGCATGGCAGGCCTGGGATGGAACTGCCAGTGGCAGCTGCGCCTGCTTGCAGCCTTATGGTCAGTCTTCTATAAAAACGCATTCCTCAGGACCAGAGGATGATGTGTTTCATGCTAGTGATCCTACTTCCTTTCTCCTGTACTGCTAATAAGAGTTACTGGAGTAAGTGAATGACATTTGCTGTCCTTGCCAAGTTCTTTTTTGTTTATTTTTTGAGATAAGGTCTTGCTATGTAGTCCAGAGTGGCCTTAAACTCACCATGTAACCTTTGCTGGCCTTGAACTCACAGTGATGCTCCTGCCTCAGCCTTCTGAGTGCTGGGATTACAGGAATGCGCCACGATGCCCAGTGCCTTACCAACGAGTTTATCCTTTAGAATTTTTGGGAACTAGTTCAATTTTACTAATTATTAAAATTTTCATCCTCTTTTGAGAGGTGGGGTGGAATGGTAGTACTGGCAATTGAACTCAGGGCTTTTACTGTGGGCTATATATATCCTCAGCCATATTGTATTTAATTTTGAGATAGTTTGTAAGTGAATTGTCCAGTCTGGGCTTGAATTTGTTATCTCCTGCCTCCGCTCAGAGTTCTGGATTATAGGGGTGAGCTGTTAGGCTCTGCTTTTATATGTATTGCTAATATTTATGTTTTCCTTTTCTGAAATGTTTCTTCTCTCTCTTTTTTTTTTTTCTTCGTGTATTTTAGGGAAGGGTGTACAGGGTGTTCAGGGTCTCACTACTAGATCAGACTCATAGTGATCTCCCTCTTTACAGCCTCCCAAGAGCTGGGATTACAGGCACGTGCCACCACGCCCAGTCTCAATTGCTATCTCAGTGTGCCACAGGAGTGGGGCTGGCACAGCAGGCCCAGGAATCAAACCCCTGGCTCCTGCGCATGCTTGTAGGCGCTTTAATCTGCTGAACTATTTGGCCGGCCCTTGAAATACTTCCAAATTTAGATTATTGACAGTTTTTATTTACATGAGTTTGAGTTAACTTTTATTGTTTGTTTGTTTCTTTCTTTTTCATTTATGTATTTGGTACAGGGTCTTGATGTGCAGCTCAGACTCCTAGTGATCCTGCTGTTTTTGGCCTCCCTATCGCTTGGATTAGAGGCATGTGCCACCACGCCTGGACTCCATGGCAGGCCCAGTATACCCAGGGGCAGGGCCAGTGCGGCATGCAGGACCAGGGATTGAACCCTAACCCCGGTGTTTACCAAAGCAGGCACTTAGTCTGCTGAGCTGTCTTGCCTGCCCTTTAATTAACTTTTGATGAGTCTCAAAGTGAAATTGGGTCTAAAAGAAATTGATTCTTTAAAACTGGCATCATGCTTTTATTTGATTTGCTTTTTATGAAGATTTTCATTCTATAAACCTGATAAATGTTTGTATACAAATTTGCTGAAGTGACAGCAATTTTGGATTATTTAGGTTTATATAATTGTACAAATATGTGTCACTTATCATATGTATCTAGATATATACACAGGTTTTTCTAAATATATATTATTCAGTATATATTCATGATTATTCATATTCTTCCAGTTATTCTTGGGGGTGCATGTTTGCTACTTTTCTCCTAAATATTTAAATTGAGGGCTAGGGAGATAGCTCAGTAGAATATGCACTTGGCCTGGCAGGCACAAGGTCCTGAGTTCAAACCCTGGTACTGCGAAAAATAAAAAAAAAATAAACTGATATGAATATAAATTAGCAAATTAATAAGATAGATCGCATCTGGGCTGGCGAGATATCTCAGTGGTTTAAAGCACCTGCTTAGGGATGTACCAGCCCCACCCCCAGTGTGGGCTGTGCTGGCCACGCAAAAATTAAATTTTATATCTGTATCTTATCCAAACCTTCATGTTTATCTTCTTGAATATTTGTATATATTGATTTCACGAGTTCAGGTTTTTGATATTTGGAGGATTGAGATAGGGCTAAAATTTTTACATTGTAACTAAGACTTCAGAATGAAAGGACCGTAGATAGCATTTAGCTTTCAAAAATGATTACTTTTAGCTAGGTGTGGTGGTGCATGCCTGTAATTTCAACACTCTGGAGGCTGAGGCAGGAAATTGCTGAAAGTTCAAGGCCAGCTTGAAATATATAACATCCTGTGTCAAAAAAAGAAAAAAAATTACCTTAATTTGATGTTTCTTAGGTAATATTTCCTTTGTGAAATACATTTTCCTTTTGTTGTCATTCATTTCTAAATGTCCTTAGTTTGGGGCCATATTATGGAATTGCCTAATCTCTCTCAAAGAGTTTTGTGAGGCTTACCTGTAAATAATGAAAATGGCTTAACAAGTAACTGAAGTGAATAAGTAAATATTCAGTGCAATTTTTATTGGACTTCACATCTGAAAGTCTGTCTTATCTTTTGGGGGCTTTAGAAATAGGTAACTTTCCAACGTCATTGTTTGTGCAGTCTAGTGCGTAGCTTAATATTGAAGTATTTTGTAATTTTTTACTTTTTGTTTCAAAGGTAGTTAAAAGGTAGTGTTGGTTCTCGTACCATTCATTGTTGTCTGTCCTCATTAGTTGATTGTTGTGTGTTAAATAGACATCCCTGGAGCTTACTCTCCACACTCTGTGAATCCACTCATTAATCACCAGTCACCTTTGGAGATGGGAAAATTACTTACCTGTATTTCTTTTTCTCAGAAAGCGTGCTCTGGAATGGATTCACAAATGAGCTACCCTCCTTCCCTCAAAGAGTAAGGTTTCTGCTTTACAGGATTTTTTCTTGGGTTATTTTTCCTCTCATCTTTTGAATTTGAAAAGAACTGAGGGAAGGCACCTGAAGAAACTACTGACATACTCACTAGGGGAGTTCCAAAGCTTGTGCTGCCCCTAGGGGCAGTGTCAATGGCTCTTAAAGCTAGAAAGCTCATACTTGGAGTTGAAACAGGGGCTCAAAGAATCCATTTTCCCAGTGTACCTTCTGAAAGGATAAGTTTCAGGTAAGTAATTTTCTCTTACTATGTGATATGTTCTATTCATACTTATAAAAGTACCCAAGTCCAGTTCTCCAGGTACAGAAGCAACTAACTGTATTTACTCACAGTTTAGATTTGTAATTTTTTTTTAAGGTCAGAAATATACAATCTTGTGGAATAAAATATGTTTGCTTTGATATACATGAAAGCATAATTTATTTTAAATGAATCATAATTAGAGTTGTATTGAGATCAGTGTATTATGCTAGTGCTGGCATTTCCTTCATTAATGAATAAATATTCAGAAACATTTTTAATATAAAATAAAAAATCTCTTGAACTCAGTTTCTAAGCAGTAGTTGACTGAGGTTGTCTGCACAAGCATGTGCACTTTCTTAATAAACCTGTCTGCAGGCTAAGTAAGATGATGGCAACTATTTTTGTACCTAAAATTAGATGCAATATCTCAGAATGTGTTAAGTATTTGTAAATTTTTTTTTAATGTTAAGAGACAGTATGAGATATAAGTAAAATATTTAGTGTAGTAGCTATATGTAATATGGCTTTGACTTAGTTCATATATTCTTTAGAGCTATTGAAATAGTTATGCTCAGTTTTTAGCTACTAAATGTGCGGTGATTATAAAAACAAAAAGAATAGCAAAAGGGCCTGCAAGATAGCTCAGCATACTAAAGCGCCTGCGTAGGCAAGTGCAGGGACCAGGGTTTGATTCCCGGACCTGCATGCTGCGCTGGCCCTGCCACTGGGCATGCTGAGCCGGCAGCTGAGATGGGCATAGTGGTGCATGCCTGTAATACCAGGGCTGGGGAGGCTGAAAAGAGGAGGATCACTAGGAGTCTGAGCTGCGTAGTGAGACCCTGTATCAAATACATAAGTGGGGGGAAAAAGAATAGCAAAATACAGTAAACATTTGCTCAAATTAGTTTCCTATGTATTTTGTCATTCTCATTAAGTCAGTATTTCAGAAACCTCAGACATTCTGAGTATTTTTTCTCAGAAATTATTTTTAAGTGAAAGTTGCATATAACCAGGGTAGCACTTTAAAATGTTAATTTTTTCACTTACTATGCATGCAGTGTTGCCATTTGAAATAGCAGCTCTGAATTAGGAAGTAAGGGGAAAACACTTTTGAGTAGCAAACAACTGTCACAAATTATATGCATTTTTCTTTGTACCTGGAAATAGCAGTTTTCAGGTAGAAAAATTGTGTTCTAGTTAAAAGGCTTATTGACAGTAGCTAAAACTAATAGCTATTTCCACAAGCTGGGAAAAAGAGAATGTATTAGTTTAAACCTTAGTCAGGAAATGTTTTTCTTCACTTGGTTTCCTCTAAGGTTATGGTTCTTTCTAAAGTGACAATAAATCAGAATGTCTTGCCTAAGATAATCATAATCATTTAATTGTTAGTTTGTTTCATAAAAGATATTGAGCAGCTTTATTAAAGAAAACCTCTGAGACAGAAGTAAAAATTTAGCACCAATGAATCAAGTCAGTTAAGTTAGCGTGACTAAACTTCAGATTTGGCTTTGAGTGGTCTTCTGATAACCACCTCGTGTGTGGGAAAAATAGGATTAATTTTGTAGTTTTTAATATGAAGTAATTCCTATTTGTATAGTACACTTCAAAGAAAAATAAAGCTATACCTAACTTTCAAGTATGAACGAAGTATCTGTTGGATTTTTGACTATAGCAGCATTTGAGTGACAAATGATCAGTTCCTTTTAAGAATTCTTTCAGGGGGCCAGGGAGATGGCTCAGTAGGATAAGCACTTGACTGGCAAATGCAAGGATCTGAGTTCAATCCCTGGTTCTGAAAAAAAAAAAAAACAAAAAAACAACAACAAAAAAAAAACCTTTCCGTTCAGAGATTGTAGGACGTCATATAAGTATGATAAGATTCAGTAATCTTTATTGTTACATTCAAAAAGCAGGAATTTTTTCACAGACTGTTGCTCAGATATAGGATATACTCAGTTAAAAGAGAATATTGATTTTAATAATGTCTCTTGTGAAATTAACTGCTACATTGAACAGTTATGTATATTAGCATGAATATGTGAAAATTAAGGAAATATAGTATGTTTTAGGAAGGTAAATATTAAAGATGATTAATAACAAATGAATAAATGTTACATTTTATGATGTGTGTTTTTTAAAAAGACATCATAGAGTTTTGAAAATTACAGTTATCCAGTTAAAGAAACTCAGTTTTTCAGAAGTGAGGATAAAAATCTACTAATAGTACTTCAAACATAATCATAAGACAGGGTGTCTACATGATATTTCTAATGCCATTATAAAATTCATTTTGATGTATCAAGGTAGAAGAAATAAAAAAAAAATGAATTGCTCCCATCCAAGTACTAACCAGGCCTGACCCTGCTTAGCTTCTAAGGTCAGATGAGAACAGGCGCGTCCAGGGTGTTATGGCCGTAGACAAAAAGGGAATTACTGAAAGGTAGATTTAGGTGTGTCTATAATTAACTACGTTATAGTTAATTAAACTATAATTAGTTATATTATTAATTAGATTTTCATAGAGTAGGAAACAATTTATTCTCTGAACCTTTGTTTTCTGTCTCTTAAGTTTCTTTCATTTTACCTTCTCTTTCCTTTGGAAAACAGCTAAACATTCTGTGCTTGTAGTCTTACTGAGATTTTATGTCAGGGTAGGACTATTTATTATGTCCATCATTTTATATATCTTGTTTAAAGCCCTTGGATTTATCCTTTTTCACCTAGTGCAAAATTGAGGTAATTTTTTTTTTAATTGAGGCCGTAAAACTCACATAAGCTACGGGTATTGCTCACCTACATGTTACCCCCCTCCCCCGCAATAGAGATCAGATCTTTGCATTTGAACAGTAGGAGCTAAACGTTTCCTTGATTTGTTACACTGAGATAGTTTCTTAAGTTAAATTTTCTTAAATTATATTTTTTGGGTTTGTTTTCCGTGCTAGACTGATACAATGTTTAACAATGCTTCTAACTATTAAGGTGTGTGTTTCCTTAATCTTGTATTACTGATGACTTTAAGGTTCCTACAACTTGAGTAAGTTTTTAACATTGTAAATCATTGGTGATATTATTCTCTATTAGCTTCCCAAATATGCCTTTTATTTTTATGTATGAGGGCTATTGGGAATGACTTTCTCAGAGGCTTAAGCTGTGCTTTTGCCTTCCATGAGAACTGAAATTTATTTGGTAAGCGCCTGCTTTCTTTTTAGCTTCTAATTTTTCCCTATTTTATTTTGTACATGATATTTGTTTCAAGGTCAAAGGTTCCGTTACAGTTACTATGATGAATCCCAGGGGGAGATTTATAGATCCATTGAACATCTAGATAAAATGGTAAGTCTTTCAGGTGTGGGGTTTTAATGCTGTAAGACTTTTTAAAAATTTCAGATTAGTGATTCAAAATTTTATGTTAAAATATACATAGACTAACAGTTCTTGCCCTATTTTTAATTAAAAATATAAAATGCATTGTGTCCTCACATGAATATTGCCTGTAAGAATGATCCCTGTTTTAGCAGAAATTTCCTTCATCATGATTTCATTTGACTAATGAGAATACCAAAGAGTAATTAGATACAGATTTTGATTTCTTTTTGGAGAAGTGTCTTAGCTTTAGAAACAGCAGAATCCTAATGCTATTATTTATTGTTAAGTTGTAACCATAGTGTGTCATGGGATACCTAGACTATAATTTGCTCGATGGCTACCCAAAATAACTTAATTTTGACTCTTTCTGAGTTTTGTTGTTTCTTACAACTTATTAAATTTCCTAAATAACTTAGTATATTTTTGAGTTTGGTTTGGTAGTAGACCTATTTTTTTTTTTAATAATCCTGAAGATTTTATGAACTAGTGACAGAAAATGCATGGAGATGTGCAGTACAAGTAACTTTTGGTTGAAAGTCTGTGGTTTTTTTTAGTGTATTTAGTACAGGGTCTACAGGGTCTCACTACACAGATTGGACTCCAGTGATCCTCCTGTTTTCAGCCTCCCAAGCACGGGGATTACAGGTGCGCTACCATGCCCAGGTCTCAATCACCTGCTCAGCACACTCTGGGGGCAGGGCCAGCACAGCAAAGACTTTATTTTTTCAGTTACCACTTTTTTCCTTTGGACTTCTAGTGTACATAAAATTTAGTAATTTAAATCTTGTTTGCCACACAAAAGGAATTTATATGAATACTTTCTTTTAAAATTTAGAACATTTCAGACATGTTAAGAATTACATTTTTTTCTTCACTTTTTTTTAGAATTTCTCAAAATGTATTTAGTGAGATTAATTTTAAACATAATTAGAATCAGTATATTTCTATAAAATCTATAAATCAAATTGTTATAGATCAAATTGTATCTTTTTATTTTTATTTCTCACTGATTCTAAACATATTAAGACTTACAGCCTTTGTGTTAAGAGAGAATTAAAATAAGCAAAGTTACTTTTAGAAATGCAAAGAAATTTTCTCTTTTTTAATGTTCTTTGCTTTTCCTGTAAATTCTTTATCATTTTGTTTTTTTTAATCATTTGGATTTTACCTAAGTAGAAGTTTGTTAAACTATAGAATTTAAAATGTAATTATATTGTCATCTAACCTAGGGGTATAGTAGACATTGAGCCTACTTTTACTTTTTCTTAAAGTACTATCATTGTTTTTTATTTTAAGTTTTTAAAATCATACAAATATTTTTGGAATCAACTCATAAACAGTATTAAATATAGTGGGACTTAACCAGGCATGGTGGTACATCCCAGCATTTGGGAGGCTGAGGCAGGAAATCGCCAAGAGTTTAAGGCTAGCCTAGGTTACAAAGCAAGATGCTGTCTCAACCCCCAACTCCGGTGTAGTAGGACCATCATTAGTTTGCTGTATGACCTTCAACAGATCATTTTAGTTCTCTGGTTCTTAGCTTCTCATCTATAAGAACAGAAACAGGGCTATATAATCTCTGAATAACTTGTACAGTCCATTAATCTGTAAGTCTGTGATCTGTTCAAATCAGTTTTATGTAACATTTTAACACAAAATTATTTAGTCTACCCATACCTCATACTCTGAGTAACTACCTTAAAGATAACAATACTCAGTGTATTAACTATTGTTGTTCTGTTATTTCATTATGAAATTTTGTTTACTTTTTTTCTGTAAAAAAGATCAGTCTAATGTGGCTAAAATATTTTGATAATTATAGTTTTGAACTTACAAAAAGGATGTATAATATATTTTATTGAAGGTGAATATAATGAATATAGATTTTGCTATTATGGAAATTTTATTATATTTAAATTTACCTTCATTGTTACTTTAATCCAGTTGCTTAATACCCTTAAAATTTTATTTAAATTTTATTGTATTGGCTTTATGGAATTTTCATTTCAGTTGCTTAGCTTCTTTTTGACTTTTTGTTTTAGTCTTGCTCTTCTGAGGCTTAGTTTTCAGTTGTATTAGAAAACTTCTCTAATTCTATCTTGTGTTTTCTTCATAAAGCAAATGCTTACTGATTGTCCGCTAAATATCTGGTACTGCCTGAAACATTGAAGATACTGAAAAGAGAAAATGTGCTCCCTTAATTAAACCTAAGTTCACTGGTTTACAAGACTTAGGAAGAAGACCTTATGAATATAGAGATGGGAGAAATATTTAGGAGCTAAAATACAGAGAATTTTTGGTAATTGATTAGCTGCCTATGTCAAAGAAGGAAGTAATCTGCCTGATTTTTGGGTTCCATGCTATTAACTCGTAAAGTAAATGTAGAAGTACATTTCTAAGGAGAAAGCTGAGTTTAATTTTAGATACGGTTTTGGGTTGTTTAGAATTGAACTTGCTAGTCACATACATTTATGGAGTACTTGGAGTGCAGATAATGTGACTTGAGATGTGGTATAAGCATAAGAAAAAGGGGAATAAAAGGATATTGATGCCATTATCAAGAATAATGGATGGGGGAAGGGCAGGCAGGTCACAGGGACATAATTGGCATGAGTGAGGAGATAAAAGAAAGACAGTCAAAAAATTGTGTTTAGGGAAAAACAAGAAGCAATAACACAGAAAAGTGGAAGCTTTTAACAAAGAGAGGGTAAGATTTATCAAATGCTGTAATAATTAAGAACCTTTTTGTTTGGTGGTACTGGGGATTGAACTCGCACTTGACAGGAAGGCGCTTTTGCCACTGAGCTATCTCCCTGACCCCAGAACCTTTTTTTTTTTTTTAAAGACAGGGTCTCGCTGTGTAGGGCAGGCTGGCCTTGAGCTCATGTCAGTCCTCCTGCCTCTGCCTCCCAAGTGCTGGTATTATACATGTGTGCCACCACGCTTGGCATGGACCTTCTTAGAGCAGTTTGAGAAGAAGAATTTATGATTACAGTGAAGAGGTGAAGATAGATGTCAAAAATTGTTCTGGTAATTTGATTGTAATAGAGAAAAGCAATGCTTGGGTGTTTATACTATGAGACATAGGGAAACATAGTCAAAGGCAGCCTTTTTATAGGTAGAAAAATTTTAGTTGAGAATTCTGAGTAACATTGTCTCTGCTTTAGGCCTCTCTTAGATTTGACTTGCAGCTGTATCACTCTTACTTCTACTAGGCTGATTACTTCCCCGATGAATTTTATTCAGATAGGATGGAGTATCTAGGAACTGGAGTGTAACTCATGGGAAGGGTGTGTGTTTAGCACTCAGAATGCAGTGGATCCAGTCCCTAGCTCTCAAAGATGAAGAACAACCAAAGCAGCATACAAAAATAAAATAAAGTAAAATAAAATAAAACAAGAACTACCTAAGAGGAGTGTGTGTGTGTGTGTGTGTGTGTGTGTGTGTATAATATGCTGGGCTGCTAAGTGACTTAGCAAGACCTTGTCACAAATTTAAAAGGGTTGAGGATGTAGCTCAGTGTAAAGCCTTGGGTTCTGTCCCCAGAAAAAACATGTGTCGGTGTGCATATGTACTCACACACATAGGTAGTGGAATGCACCTAAGTTTTCCTTTTATTACAGTTCTGTTTATTTTGCTAGTCTAATTATAGAGAAAATAACTGAGTGGTTTTCAGTATCCAGGATTTCCAAAATAAAGTCTTTCTGGAGGTGGTTGTTAGCAAGTATGTACTGAATTTTATGAAAAGCAATACTTTCTGTCCAAACCAGTAAGAATAACTCCAGGGATGCTCTCTCAAACTCTATATGTCTTTTTTTTTTTTTTTTTTAAATCTTGGTACAGGGTCTCACTGCACAGCTCAGACTCATAGTCTCTTGTCTCAGTCTCCCCAGTGCTGGGATTACAGGTGTGTGCCGCCACATCCGGTTTTGGTGCCCTGCATGGCACACCCAGGGTTCTGGGGTCAGTGTGGCATGCGGTTCTAGGGATCGAACCTGGGTCCTTGCACTTGCCAACAGGTGCTTAGCCTGCCAAGCCTAAGCTCTGTATATCTTTTTTTTTTTGGTATGTCTTAATTATTTTTATTTTTTCTGGTGGATATTAGGAATCGAATTCAGGACCTTGTGCCTGCCAGGCAGCTGCTGTGCCACTGAGCTGTATCTTTGACCTCTTAGTTACTTTTCTCTCATTGCTGAGTACCCATCATCCAATGTTAAAGGAGAGGTTTATTTAGCTCACCATTTCTAGAGGTTTCAGACCATAATCATCTGGCTCCAAGGCAGGGTGGCTTGGCAGAGAGTAGTTCATGATGGGTAGATTGTAGCAAAGGACAAAGGGAGAGAGAGAGAAGGGACAAGCTACTTTCTGTCCCTCAGATTGGATGGAGGCTACCTGCATAGCAGGTAGCACTCACATCTTTAAATCCAGCACTGGACCATGAATCAATCACAAACTGTAGATTCAGCCACCTCTAAAAAGCCTACCTCCCTTGACTGCATGAGGCTTTGGAGGAGGACATCTAGACATAAACCATCACACCATACTACTAAGCTACTTGCTCGATATTTTCACTGAGTTTTCTTATAAACAAACCAAACATACTAACAATGGAACTGATTTTCTTCTGACAAAAACCTGTTGTACTTACACTTTTACCATTCCATTGATGGTGGCTTGAAGTTTTAGAACTTTCCTTTTTTCTTTTTTTTAATTTTAGGGAAGGGTGTTCAGGGTCTCATTACTAGATTGGACTCAGTGATCCACCTGTTTACAGCCTCCCAAGAGCTGGGATTACAGGCATGTACCACCATGCCAGTCTCAATTGCTGTCTCAGCATGCCCTGTGGGCAGGGCTGGCACAGCAGGCCTGGGAATCGAACCTTTGGCTGGCCCTAGTTTTAGACCTTTTCTTACTGTCTGTTGCCTCTTACCTTTATCCTTCATTTACTCTGCCAAGGAGAACAGTTT